AGAGATGTATTAAAAAGATAAAGTTAATAAAATTATTAAGAAAGGAATATATTAATATATAATATAGTTTAATTAACTTACTTAAATATAAGGAATTAAATCACTTTATTTTATTAAAGAAATCATTATTATTTAAGATAAATTAAATATAAAAATATAATTAAGAATTAAATAATATTAAAAAAGTTTTAAAATACATTATATATTTTTAATTATAATTATAATATTAAATAATATTAAATAATATATTTTAAATAACTTAAATATATTTAAATTCTTTATAATAATTATTATTTTATTAATATAAATATAAAAAGTAATAGCTTTATAAAACTTTATAATAATTATAATATAATAATTAATAAAAAGGTTTTTAAAAATATTATAAAGAAGTAACTTAAAGAAATAATAGAAAGTTTAAAATAATAAAAAGAAGTATAAAATAATAATTATAAAAAAGAAAGGAAGCATAAAATAATAATTATAAAAGAAAAAGAAAGTATAAAATAATAATTATAAAAGAAAAAGTATTATAAAAGCTTTAAAAAATAAAGAGCTTATAAAAGTATTTTAAAAGAGTTATTAATATTAATTATGTAAAGCGGCCTTAATTAATAATAAAAAACATATATTATAATATATATATAATGCTGCCCCTTTATAAATTATTAAGTAAACAAGCTTTTTATAATATATAAGTATATTTTAATATTTTAATAAATATAAAACAAATATTTCTTAATAATGTAAAGTATAATAAATAAGTAATTATATATTAAATAAAAAAAGAAAAAAGGAAAAAAAGGAAATAAATTAATTAATATTATAAAAGAAATATATATTAAAATAAAGGTTTATATAATTATATATATAAAGCATTTATATAATTAATATTAATTAATAATTAAAATAATTATTAATTAAAAAAGGAAAAATTATTATAATTTAAAGTAGCTAATTACTTAGCAAGGTATAAAAAGAAAAATGCCTTACCTTTATTTTTTATAAAAAAAAGAAAGGCAAGAAATAATTTTATTATTATTATTAATAATAATAACCTTAGCAATAAAAAAAACCTTTCCTGCTTAGCCTTAAACTAACCTTATAATACTTTATAATTAATATAAGGAAGCTTTTTTAATAAGTAAAAATCTTGCTTTTAATATAACTTAATTATTTAATAATGTATTAAGCATTAAATAATATTTAAGATTTTTAATATTAAAGAGAAATAAAAAAGAATTATATTAAAGTTTATAAATAAATATTAAGTTAAGAAATAATAAAATTTAAGTTTTAAGGTAAGATTTTAATTCCTTTAAATATAAATTAAATATTATTTTTTATATAAATCTTATTATAACTTATTATAAATATAAGAAACAAACTTAAATTTAATAATATAATTAATAAAAGCATAAATAAAACGCTTACTTTAATTATTATATATATACTTTAAAAATAAATATAATATAATATTTAATAATTAAAGTAAATAAAACAATATAATAATATATTAATAAAAATAATTTTATTATTCTTATAATATTAATATAATTTAATTAATATATAGCTTTTATAATTATTTAATATTAATATTTAATATATACTTTTTATTTATTATTTAATATGCTTATTAAAATATTAAATTAATTTTAAATTAATTTTATTATTTATTTATTTCTTTAAAATAAATTTAATAATTAAATTTTTTAAACAATATAACTTTATAACTTAACTTATAAAATAATAAATGCTTTAAATAATTATAAATATTAAAATATATTAACTTATTATATTAATATATTTAATAATTACAGTTTATTTTTAATTATTAAATTAAATTAATTTTAAATAATTTTTAAATCTTTATAAAAAGCCTTTTAATAATTATAAAAATAATTAAACTTAAGTTTGTAATTAAATTATATATTTATAAAGCATTAAGCTTAATATTTATTAATAAATTTAATATTATATAATATTAATAAAAAGTTAAATATATTTTTTATATTAAAAAATTATAAGGAAAGTTTTTAAGCATTTTATTTAATTATATATTAAATAAGCATTTATATTTTAATTTAATTAAATTTATATTAATTAATATATATATTTTTATAAAAGTATTATTAATTTATTTTATAATATAAAGTTTATTTTAAAATATATAAAATTTATATTATTTAAGAAATATTTAAGGGTTTTATATTATTTTTATTTAAATAGTATATTATTTAAATAATTAAGAAATTTAATTTCTTTAAATAAAAAATATATATTATATTTATTAAATCTTAATATATTAAATATTTAAATAAATAAAATAAAATAAAATTAATATAAAAACTTAAAATATAATTAATATTTAAAAAAGTTATTTTATATAAATTTTAATAACTTTTAATTAATAAAATTAAATAAAAATAAGAAATTAAAAGTAATTAATATTAATTAATTTCTTTATATTAAGTAAATATTAAAGTTAATAAAAATTAAATAATATTATAAATATTAATTATAAAGTAATATTAATTATTTAATAATAAATTATATTAAGTAAAATATAAATAATATATATAATTTAAAAAATAATTTTATTTTATTATAATTATTTTTATTAACTTTATAATAATATTAATAATAATAATAAATTTTTATATATTTTATTAATATTAATTATAAAGAATTAATTATAAAGAATTAATTATACAGAATTAATTATAAAGAATTAATTATAAAGAATTAATTATAAAGAATTAATTATAATATATTTATATATATATTAAAAATATATTATTTTAATTAAAGCATTAAAATTATTTATTATTTTTTAAAATATAAATATATTATATATATTACTTATAAATATTATATAAAGTGCTTTTTATTATTATATTTTTACTTTTTTAATTAAATATTATTTTTATTAATAATATTAAAAAAGTATATTTTAAAATTATATTTATAATAAAAATAAAGTTAATTATTTTAAAACTTTTTATAAATTAAAATATATAAAATATAATATAATTATTTATTAAATATTTATGTTATTATTATTATTATTATTATTTATTATTATTATTATTATTATTATTATTATTATTATTATTATTATTATTATTATTATTATTATTATTATTATTATTATTATTATTATTATTATTATTATTATTATTATTATTATTATTATTATTATTATTATTATTATTATTATTATTATTATTATTATTATTATTATTATTATTATTATTATTATTATTATTATTATTATTATTATTATTATTATTATTATTATTATTTTTTTTTTAATGTAGGTGTTTTAAGCATTTATTATTATATAAAGGGATTGGATGCATATTGCTTAAGAAGCATATATGTATAGATTAAAAACGAGACCACCTTGTTTTTCCAGGAGCGACTGGTTCTGCTGGACGTTGGGCAACGCTGCCGAGGTGTTGTTCCTCTGATCGGCACCCTTGGGGAGACCCAAATCATGCTTCTCATCCCGCGCCATAACTGCCAGCTAGTGTATTGATCAAAAGCTTATGTCAAATGAATCCTAGAAATATACTGGAAGTCCGTTCCTCGAGGTCAGTATTGTAAGCCTGTGAATGCGATTGAGTTGACCTGGTTGTCGAACCAGGCGCTTGGATATTTACTGAGCTGCATGTAAGACACCCGCCTTCTGATCCCGATATCCTGCAGCTTATTGTCGCACAATGGGATGGATGATTGGCGGATAAGCCATGCTGATATATACCGTTAAGGATCTTACTGCTTTTAGAGTTCAGTGCAACACTGTCATCTTATGGTCTGTATGCGAGGGGATATATGCAGCAGTCAATCCTGATTTGCCAATGCCGGCATTTACTGAGCGCTTCGAATAACCCTCTGAAATCATCTACTGGGACAGCACCACCATCCAAGTCATAGCCTGAACAGCTACTCATCCCTGGGTATCAATGGAAACGCACCACATGCAGCCAGTTGTCTTACATCGTGCGGTGACCTGCGCAGCAAACTTCGTTGTCCGTTCCCGCCACTCCGTTCTCACAGTACACACAATACAATGCTTGTAGCAGTTTCCGGCTGATTGTTCTTGATCTATGATTTCTTAATTCGCATTCTCGCGCACGCCATGCCAGCGCGTAATACATTCACACTTCGCATCGCGCTGACCGTGGGACGGGCTTAGACACATCATATGAACCGCAGGGGCATGCGCTGTATCATTGGTTTTGCCTTTTGTCTTCCTAACGCTGGCGTCCGACCTTAACTGAACGTGTTCAAAATTCCAATTTATTTAGACTGTCCGCTATACAACCTTCATGCCGCTGCCCACGTGAGCCAGAGAAAGCCAGCTTGACACACGGGCCTGTCTTGGGAGGGGGGCATTGCCACGTCGCATGCCACACACTCTCCTTACCTGCAAGCTCGTTGATATTTTTTTTGTGTCCATTCCTTGCTCTTTGCGCAGCCATGTCAGAACCAGATTTAGCCTGGGTTGAGTACCTTTCAGGCTACTGCCCTGCCACAATACTGTACTGACTCAAGCTCCCTGACCTTTCAAGGTATCCAGATGTCCCACCCGTTGAGCTTCCTTCTCGTCTTCTTCGCTTAGCTCAGTCAAGCAGCATCAGGACAGCTCAACACTCAGAGAAACGCTTATCTCAACGAGTACCCACAAACATAGTGCTTGAGACAGTCAGCCGCGTTTTACCGCCGCAGGCGATCGTGTAATCGAGGGCAGCCGGCACGACCCATCTGAATTCAAGAAGCCGCCGAGGCTTGCGCAGATCAAGAACTTGCTGCTTGGAGATGTAGTCAAGGTAAGTTGTGGCTGGCAACCCCTAGCCTAGGTGCCCCTGGGCACGACTGAGGGCGTGGCCCTGTCAGTGGAGCGTTGGGCGGGATGGATGGGACGGATGGCAGCCTGTGCTACTGCTTTCGGGTTTCAATGTACAGAATCTTCAGCCTCCCGCCGACTTCGTACCTCAGTGATGTGAGTGAGGCGGGTCAGGATGGGTAAGGAGACTAAGTATGACATTCCAGCAGAAGCCAACGCAAACAGCCACGAACTGCCGTTTCTCTACCGGCACGAAGACAAAGTTAAGCAGCATGACCCAAGGCCAAATCATCCAACCGGTGGACAGGATGACAAACAGCTTTGCCCTCCATATGGCTGCTATCTCGGCGAAAGTGTCGACGCGGAACCAGTTGGTCCAGACGAGAAAGATGGTGAGAAAGGTAACCATGCCGACGGTCTGGTCGAGCACCAGCTTTGCGATGATGCAGGGCCATCTAACCCCGGTACGTGTCGCCCTCAGGGACTCGAGGAACTTTGCAGAGGTGCCCTCGGTGCTCATGCGGCGCTCCTCGTCGTCGTCCTTTTTCTCTGGCTTTGGCGGAGCGGGCGACTCGGCCGGGAGGGAGTGGCGGCTGGGGAACAGCCGCTCGAGGAAGATGTGCCAGCAGTATCCAAGCTGGGCCTGGAAGAAGCCGTAGATGGCAAACTCGACGATACGCTGGCGGTCGATGGGCTGGGGGATGGGGTCCTGGGTGTGCCAGCGTGAGGCCAGCTGGGCGGTGACGTTGGCACCGGCTTTGAGGAAGAGCGCCCGGACGGCGGTTGTCATGAGTGGCCCCATGGCGGGTGAGGATCACCACACGGCTGGTGTGGGAGGATGTGTGTCGGCGACCGGCATAGGCCCGGCTCTTTCCAATCTCTCTCTGTGTCTCCCTCTGTGTGTGTGTGTGTGTGTGTGTGTGTGTGCCCGTTGGTTGACGAGCGAGACGAGTTCCGTCCAGGTCATCAATCGACCCAGCGCTGGCAAGATGAGGACACGTTCCAAACGGTGTGGTGCAATCTTAGGGTTAGGGCGCTCTCTTCAACACGGCCGCTGCTGCCAGCATAGGAGCCTTGAAGCCCGAACAGCGATGGGCGAGTGGTGGAGAGGAAGTGCAGTGGTTTTGAGGGATCATGGGCACTCACCGCGATGGGATCTGTCCAGAGCGTGGGCCGAGGTTTCGTTGCTCTGGGCACAGTTACTGAACGCGTGCTCTGCCGTTTCAAGCCAGGGTCCTGCCTGGTCGGGCTGGCTCACCCACCGGGCGGCACCCCACTAGCCCGAACAGGCATCTAGGCACGAGCCATGAGCCACCTGCACCTGGGCTGCCACATACCTGAAGAAAAGCACGGTTTCTGTATCAATTGGAAAGTTGACAGTCTTTGGGATCCAGGCTGATCGACCAGACGACAGGTTGGACGATGGCGGCGTATGCAGTGTCTTTTACATCTTCGCTTAGACCAAGGCGCTTTTATCGGGGAAAGTTACAAGTTTCTGTTTGTTCAAGTATCATGGAGAGACAATCAACGATAACCGTTATTATTGTTTCGTGTCATAAGGACATTGTCTGGAGACAAAGCCCCGCGGCTGCTTGCGTGGGAAATTGGTGAAAGGGTCACGACATTGAAGACTATTGCACCCCAGTATACCAGTATCATGCCCAAAAGTATAAAACACCAGCTGAGCCTCCCGACCTGTTTTAGCTTTCAATGTTCCATTGTCAAAAATAAATACGACTTCCTTCCCTTCAATAGCCAGCTTCAGCTTCTGTAGAAAGCTGTTCAAGAATAGAAGGAAGATCCTGGCCGACAGCCCATTCCACACAATGTCGTTCCAAGTCCCGGATTACGGCGAAGAGCAACTAACACAGCCATCTTTGGATGGTGACATGTCCGAGCCACAAGGCCTTACCATGCATCATCTCCTTGGGCTGATGTACGAGCTCGACTATAGGATTGGTGAAATACGTCCCGCTGGTAACAATGGACCTATTACAATCTACCTCGGCGGAGATGCAGCTGGAGTTTTCAATGGTGCCAGGAATCGATCGGCCAACGGCCTTTGCGTATTCGCGGCAACGCCACCGGAGTCGAGCCTGATCTCGCAAGTCGCGAGCAGTATCGAAGCTGGGAGTGAGCTAAAGATGCACTTGTCCGACCAAAACCTGCAAGATGCGATGGACGAGGTGCCACAGATCGTGCAGAGACTCGTCGTAGACGCAGCCAGCATCGAGCCTATCTACTCCTCTCCCAATATTAAGGTAATCGTTCCACGCTGGGAAATACCTTATGCAATTAAGATGCACGAGCTTGCCTTTGATAACCACGAGGACCGTGCATTGAGGTGGTTGCCTCAATTCCTCCTCTGCTACTTGCTTGCAACTACAACAGGTCCCTCGCAAGGCTACCTTCTGGAATCGTCGGTCCAGGGGCACGTCCGAGCCTTGCACCTGGAAGAAAAGAGGCTTATTCACCGCTCTACTTTCGACAAGGTGAACCGTAAGTATAAAGAACGTTTCAACATCGAGCCAATTCTCTTTGAAGAATAGGCTGGGTCTGTTCACTGCGACAAGCATGAATCATTGGTGCAGAAGGGGGGTCTAGAATGGTTTACTTAAGACAGGTAATGTATTAGATTGCTCTACTAATAAATTATACTTGTAGCTTTCAACTCCTGGTGTTGTGAACTTGATGGTTGCTTACCTCTTTGAATACATATGTCATTAGCATATATGTACTTATAAAGTTTATATTGACATTTTAGTAGAAAACGGAGATTTGCAGAGCAAAAAAGAGAGGGTACAGAGGTACAAAATCTGCTGACTAAGCAGGATTATGTGACCTGCAGTGTGACGGTACGGCTCTTATATACTGCTTGGAATAACCAATCCTAGATTGGTTATTATGGTCTTTTGGCCGGGAGGTACGAATTTGCAAGCAGTAATTCTATTTACCCTCTCATGCAGCCAACGTTAGCCCACCACCCTAATATGCCTCCATAGCTGCAATTACTAGGCGCCCTGCGCAACCCTTATCATTATTAAACTTACCTTATATTAATTAAATACTCATTATAATTAATTAATTTAGCATTAAAAATGATATTTAATTGCTTAAATCTTGTTTTTTTAATATTATAATAATAATATAAGTTTTAAATTACTTTAATCTTAAGGCGCAATAATTAATAAATTATTATTATTAAAACGCAAATATTACCACAATTAATCATTATTAACCAGCGCATTTATTAAGTGTAATTAAGTAATTTACAGCCTTAAAAGATATAAAAAAAGCGATAAATTAACTCCTCTTAATGTATTATAGCAAGCCAGAATACGCCCACCCAGCTTCCATAATATGCCTACCTAGCTTTTAACATGCACCTACTTAATACTTCCTTTTCTTAGTAATATATTAATAAGATTAAGTACTTTTTTAAATAAGCATAAAGTTTGCCCTATATATAAGAAGCTAGGATAGCTAATTTTTAATTTAAGCAATACTTTAAAAATATAAGCTTAAAAAGCTTAAAGGACATAAAAGGATGCAAACCTTTGCGCCCTTTATGCCCTTTACGCCCTTTGCGCCCTTTGCACCCTCTGCACCCTTTTATGCCCTTTTACGCCCTTTATGCCCTTTTGGGCCTTTTAGGTTATTTGGGCGGGCGCAAAGGGTGCAGAGGGCGCAGAGGGCAGAGGGCGCAAAGGGTAGAAGTAACTTTTAAGTTGTAAATAAAGGGGTAGCTATAAGACCCCTTTGGGATAGCTATAGCTATGCTTTCTTAGTAATCCTATAGTATTAATATTTTATAATGCATGTAGCTAATTTCCTTATATTAGGTAGGTTAATGCTAAAAGCTAAGTGGGCGTACTGTGGAAGCTGGGTGGGCGTACTCTGGCTTGAGTCAGCATATGCTTACCTAGCTTCTACAGTACGCCCACTTAGCTTTTAGCGTTGGCCCACTTAGTATAAGGAAAATTAGCTGCATTTATACTAAAATGCAAGTATTGCAGGGTTCCTAATAAGCTAGGGTAGCTATTTTCCAATTTAAGCAATACTTTAAAAATATAAGCCTAAAAAGCCCAGAGGGCCCCAGAGCGCTTAGAGGGCCCTAGAGCCCCCAGAGCCCCCAGAGCCCCCAGAGCCCCCAGAGGGCCCCAGAGCGCCCAGAGCCCCCAGAGCGCCTAGAGGGCTGCAGAGCCCCCAGAGCGCCCAGAGCCCCCAGAGCCCCCAGAGCCCCCAGAGCCCCCAGAGCCCCCAGAGGGCCCCAGAGCGCCCAGAGCGCCCAGAGGGCCTAGAGGGCTGCAGAGCGCCCAGAGCGCCCAGAGCGCCCAGAGCGCTTAGAGCCCCCAGAGCGCCTAGAGGGCTGCAGAGTGCCTAGAGGGCTGTAGAGCGCTTAGAGGGCGTAGAGGGCGGCAGAGGGTAGAAGTAACTTTTAAGTTGTAAATAAAGGGGTAGCTATAGGACCCCTTTGAGATAGCTATAGCTATGCTTTATTAATAACCCTGTAGTATTAATATTTTATAGTATGTGTAATTAATTTCCTTATATTAGGTGGGCTAACGCTGAAAGCTAGGTAGGCGTATTGTAGAAGCTGGGTGGGCGTACGCTGACTCCTCTAGCTTTATTATAGCGTTGCTAAGGGTAAGTTAACGTTGCCCCATATTAATTTGGTGGCAGGGCATTGACCGTGCGTTGGCAGATTTTGTACCTTTGTACCCTCTCTTTTTTGCTCTGCAAGTTTCCGTTTTCTTTTAGTATTACGGTTCTTTTGATTTGTATACCTTGAGAAATGCTTATGGCCGTGCGCTTTATATTCCTAACACTGCCTTTCACAGTCATGATAATGCCAGGTTCTGTTTCGATGAGGGAAAAGACAAGAAGAGCAGTTATGCCTTGAACATTCAAATAGGAAGCTCTAACCTGTGACCGCAGCGTGGCGGTCATGAGATTCGCCCCGGATTATAAATGAGCGGAAATGGCGATCATTGATATTGAAGTTCGAAGAGATGCTGCCCACACTGGCCACCAAGCCAGGAAAGTGGTGGTTATGGTAGAAGGGGCTGAGCATACCTCCCATAAGGCGCTTGGCGGGAGCCACAAAGATATATTTAGAGAAGTCTGAGACCTTTGTGGAGCCAAACTTGGCATCGATGCCAGTGCTACCAGAGTTGAACAAGATATCAATAGCCATTTCGCATGGATCGCCATTGTGAGGGAATGAATAATTGGGGGAGACTGAGTCGTGACTGCTTTCTGAAAAAGGAGTACTGCGTCGCTGCATGAGTTCTAAAGAAATGCGCAGCGTCTGAGGGAGGATGACAATAGGTTTCATGCACGAAACTCTAGGCACCATGCCAATGACTCAAATGCCCGATGAGGAGTCTGTCTCCTTTGCACGTAATTCATTAACACATAGACTAAAATAAATATCGATCGGCACTGCAACACGATCGGTCACGTATTAAAGGAACCGCGCGCAAATAATTCCCACGAAATCCACAGTGAGATATCATACTTTGAGCACCTAGCCCACTCAACGAGCATTATTAGACAAGAAAACAACCACCAAATCAGTCGAAATGCAGCTTCCAAAGATATTCGGGATCTCCATCCTGGCTTTCGCCACCGGCTCGATCGCAGAAGTACGCTCCGGTTGATGCTCATCGCTATCACAACGCTTTGACTAACAATTATAGTGCTTGGTTTCTGGGAACAGATTTGAAGACTGCTGCTGGGGCACCGACGATGGCAACAGTGCTTGTAAGCGACACACCGGTACTGGAGTGTGCAACGATGATGATCTCAACTTCTGCAAGAATATCGGGGCCAATGGGGAGGTGGTAACAGGGACCGGACTGACTTGCGTAAGCTCTTCCTCCCCATAGCCGATGCGGTATTCTCTCCTTGTCAAAAGCCTAATTCCATGCGCAGGGTGCCGACTGCTGTTTTGTCAGTGGTAGCAGATTTGGGCGTGATTGCCCTGATCCATGAAGGAAACAAACCGTCGCCTGGATTCGACATTGGTGGACATTATTTTGAGATGCCGAGACCACCCCTGACTGCCAGACTCGAGCCAATAGGTCTAAAAATTGTGTGTCTTCATCGAGTGACGAAAAAGAGTTGAGAAACCAAGAGGGATATGATTTCCTCCGAAGGAATTGAAACCATAGAAGATCACCAGGGGAAATGGCTCTGAGGCACATATCCTCAGCACATGCAAATTTTTAGAGTACTTTTGCGGGCGATTTAGGCATCAACTCCACCACTGCAGTATCCGCTCTCAAAGGACGTCACATCAGTATGGGGAATTGTTCTAATAGATATTTGGCTCTGTGTACAGTCTCCAATTCTGAGTGCCGCGGGAGAAATAATTCATGGATACTTGCATGCCTTAGACAACAATATCTCACAATAAATCCTGGCTTGCATCATATTGTTTTGCATACATCATTTATGCCCACATGCAGAGTATATGAATTCACCCTCGAGTGATGTTGGTGTATGCCTCAGCTATCACAAGGTGCTGAACAATGGGCGGAAAACTCTTTATGACTAGATTATAATCACCAGATCTGAATTGAAATACACTTCACATTCTGTTGGGTCTTCATCGCTTATATTCACAGCATTTTGGAAGGAAACAGCTTTGTCCAATCCATTGCATTATCCAGCATATTGCTGTTCTTCTTCAAGTCCTTGCAACGCTCGTGCAACTCCTACGGTTATTCTGCTAAGGCCAGTACCAGGGAGCCATGTAGAGACAAAACAAACCACCAAACATCATCTACTTCTCGTCCACTGATCTCGCTCCATGTCTGAAACCTTTCGTCGATGGACCCACCCGCCGTATGTTTCTCATGGCCACGGCTTAGCTTTTGCAGGTCCAACCCAGGAAACGAAGGAGACCCAGGCAACAGCAGGCGTCGACAGCAGGAAGACCAGTCGGTGTTGGTCATATTATTCATGCTCTCATCGTGTGGCACCTGGACAGCCACAATTCGCAATCATTGACAAGACTTGACATTTTCCCGGCAATCGCGCATGATGCCCATACTTGTGATGTAGGCATCGTAGGCGTCTATCGACACCCTATGTTCGGTCCACTGCTTGTAGGGCCATGGATACAAAATTTGTGGAAGGTGAGCGAGCCGCCATATTCGCATTTGAATATCGAATCTCTGGCCACATCCAGGTACCCTTCGTCATTAGTGGCCATTTTCTTCGTCTCTTCACTATTCTTCAAAACAGAAATCATGTCTGAGTTATAACGCGTGGGGTCATCCCAAATCAGTTGAGAGCCGCTCACAAAACCGAGGGGCTCGCATGGCTCGGAATTTAAAAGTTTTGTGAGACCTCAAGGTATAAGTCAGTCTTCCGATGCATTCAATAGACTTCACAGCATGGCTCGCTCCGACTTACCGGTTGCCGTGGCCGTGACTTTTACCAGGTGTGTGGACACAGAGGTCACCGTGGCTGTTTCAGCGCCTGAAATGTCATCCGAGACATTCTCAGTCTCTTTCGACATCGCGCTGCGAAGAATGGATGTGGGACCGATAGTCTCAGTCACGGTTGTCGTGACCGAGCCTTGTCGAGTCACTGTGACAGTGAGGGGCTTATTCTCCGTAGAAGGGGAGGCAGGGCAGGTCTTGGTTGCTAGAAAGAACATGGGTAAGCCATAAGGTCCGAGTAATCAATGCCAGAGACCGGTGAGTTCCAAACCATAAAGAATCAAGAAGACCGCGAAGCCAATGAGGCATATCCCAAGAACGAGGGAGAGTACGAGGGTGGTCACGAAGTGCTTAGTCCTCTTACTGCGCTCATCGTCTAACTGCTTCTTCAACAAGATCCTGTGGGGTACAGACTCCATTTCATGCATTCCGATGCTTTTGGTATGAGAACGAGGGAGGTCTGACGGTGGGATATACGTGTCTTCGTCCTGAACATGGAAGGAATTCGATGGAGGGTAGTACTTGTCTTCGGTGGAATACGAGGGTGCCTCTGAAAGAGAGTCCGAAGTGAAAGGCTGGTGAACGACGTAGTTTCTGTTTTTGTTATCGGCTCCCATTTGTGCTGGTTGTCCTGATAGAGGATTTGACTTTTGTAAATGATGGGAAGCAGCACGAAGAACGAGGGGGGGGGTTTTATATGGGAGGCCCCAGCTGAGGTGGACGACTGAATAAGACCGCTGCTCGAGTCACTCACATCTCTATGAGGCGAGTTCTGGTCTGGATGTTCATCTTTGACCCGTCATTCCCATTCTAAGCTCGGCCTCGGGCATGAAAGACAGTCACTCAGGGTGCAGACAGATTAGTCACATAAAGCATTGCAATCCTTATCGTGGGCACATCGACTCCATGTTATTTGCGACTAATTGCCAAATCTTTTTGAAACTAAAGAAAACGGTCTAATGTGGTATCTCTCATGTCGTTGCAATTTTTTTCCCAGAACCCTTCCTTTGGACAGAGCTGTCTGCCCAGTTACTTTCCCATTTTCCTCTCCTCAGCCTGGCCGTGCTCAGGACATCTCAACATCGTCATCGTCATCATCATCGCTGTCGTCAACCTGGAGGCCATCCAGCTCATCGTCAGACTCAATCGTGTCCGCCATGAAGTAATCGATCGCACTGGGCCAGATGTCCTCGGCGATGGAGACGGCGACCTCATGACCGGCGGGGAAAGTCTCAACGTCCTCCTCGGGGAAATCCTCGTCCTCGTCATCCTCGTCATCCGAATCCTGTGCGTTGCCGTTCAGGGCAGCCCGCCTCTTGGCCTGAAGCTCTGCCTTGGCCTCGACGCTCTCGGCGGCGCTGGTCCAGCGGCCGCGGTAGCTGAAGAAGTTGAAGAAGGAGATGGCGCCGTTGGTGGCAGCCTCGAGCCTCTGCGCGAGGGCCTTGTACTCGGGCAGCTCGCGGGCGGCAGCGTCACGGGCCTTGCGCGCGTCGCCGGTGACGATGCCGTCGAGCTGCTGGGCGGGGTTCTGCTTCTGGGCGGCCCAGAAGGCGTAGGCGGCGTCGGTCAGGCCCTCGGTCAGATCCTGGCCGGGCTTCCAGTTGACGCGCACGGGGTCCGAGACGAGGCCGGCGGAGCCGTCCTTGCCGTAGCGGTACCAGAAGGTCTTCTCGAGCAGCGAGTCGGAGAACCACTTGTTCTCGCCAAAGTGGAAGCGGATGGTGACGCTGCGAGGCTCGCCGAACTTGTCCAGGCCAACGTCGCTGACGGAGGCGGAGGCGGGGATCTCGGGGCGGCCGACCTCGAGGCCCTTGAGCGCGTTGGCAAAGACCTCCAGGTCGCTCCCGGTGACGGCAGCCTCGAGCTCGCTGCTGGCGTGGTCAAAGACGACGGCCCAGAAGCCGGGGATCTTGGAGATTGTGTTCTGGCGGGCGGCCAGGATGTCCTTGGCCATCAGGTACTGCTTGGCCGTGATCTCGGTGTCGACATCGCTGAGGGAGGCCTCGATGAGCTGCAGCTCCTTGATGGCCGCAGGCTCGATGACAAAGTCCTCAGAGGAGTTCATGATGGATAGCAGGTGGCGGTGGCGGTGTTTGGCTGCGATGTCTTCGATCATGTGGTGCAGACGGGGGACGAGATGTGTGTGTGTGTGACGAGTTTTTTTTTATTTTATTTTTTAACTTTTTTTTTTAGGATGACTGAGTGAGGGGAGGGTGTGAAGGGATATATGTGTGTTGCAGTGCGGTGCGATGAGGTGCGCGTGTGGAAAATATCAGGCGTATAAATATTCAGGCACTACGACATTGCATGGATCACTACGCCTGCAGGCTTGTGAAAATTTGGGCGGGAGGGAAAAAAAAAAAAAATCTGACGGGCGGCACGCCTGTTTGCAAGGTCCACCAGCGCAGGCGACAGGGTTCACTAGTGGCCAGCGGATAGGAACGAGTCAAATCTCATAGGGCAATCCTTCGCATATTCATGCGCCTATGAGACAAAGAGGGTATGGTGTTATGTAAAGACCCGGGGGACTGCAGAGCATGCCACCCGCTGTTGCCAGTGCTGGATGGATGAGAGGCTGGCTCAAAGGGGAAGTTGATATGTCGGGGTGGCAGCTGAGTCATGCTGGACCCTGAATCTGGGCAGATCTGAGTATGGGCCATGAGCTGCACCAGTACAGTAAAGTAATAAGCACACACCCGCACACAGCAGGGTGAGAGCGGCGAGGATCATGATAAGATGTGGCCCGCTTTGCCGGATTCCTTGAGCCCATCGAGGCATGGGTGTAACTACTCTGCTCTTCTTCCCCTGTACATTTCATGCGCCCTTCTCCATCCCCGCACGCCTACCCAGAACATTCAAAAACACCAGGAGCACTCAGGAGCACCTCCTGGCCGCACCAATCTGCATCATGAAAGCTGCGGCCACTCAATGACCCTCGTCACACCGACTTGATCGCCCTGGTCCGGTTGTCGAGCGCCCTCGCCACCACCCCCGGCGTGACAGAGCTCTCGAAACCATGTGGCACGCCCGGGTATAAGTGAAACTCCACCTCGACCTCGGCCTGCAGCAGAGCCTGTGCATATCTCAGATCCTCGTCGCAGAACAGGTCCAAGCCAGGTGTGTCGATGTACGTCCTGGGCAGCCCAACCAGCTCCTCCACCCTCGCGCGCCCCGGCGCAGCATAGATGCTCACATCCGCGCTGTCCTTGCCGGCCTTGTCCTCGCCCACATACGCAGACCAGCCGATCTTGTTGTTGTTCTCGTCCCAGGCCAGGAAATTCCTCACCGCCCAGCCGGGGCCGTACCTCCCGATTGTGCGGTCGTCCAGCATCGGGTAGATCAGAACCTGCTTTGCAAGCGGTGGCTGGAGTCCTCTGTCCCTCGCCAGTAGTGCAGTGCCCGCCGCGATGCCCCCGCCTGCGCTGTCTCCACAGATGATGAGCCTCGCAGGGTCGACGCCAAACTCCTCTGCGCTGGCCGACAGCCACTTGAGAGCCGCGTAGACGTCCTCCACTGGCCCCGGCGCGGGGTTCTCAGGTGCGACTCGGTAGTCCACCGCGAATGTCTGGACGTCCCAGCGCTTGGTGTTCCTCCTGAAGAGTGGGGTGAAGATCTCGACACTGCAGCTTATCATTCCGCCGCCGAAAACATGCAGCACCGCAGGTCGCAAGGCCTCGCCTTCCCTGAGCTGACTGCGGTGCTCCGGCGTGGCAAAGCGCGAGACGCTGATGGAGGACCCATCGAGGGTGGTAATCTCGTGCTTGGTCTCCACGACTTGCTCGGCCGCGGGGTCGGGTTCTCTCCCGAGAGCCATTCTCATTACGACGTTACTGAAGGCGCGTACGTCTTGGGCGGTCTTCATGACAGGTATCTCGACACCAGACATGTCGAGTGCTTGGACGGCAGCTGCATATTCCGGGTCGAGGCGGATGGTGCCGCCGGCTGGACCTCCGGGCAGCCCCGTGGATGCCGACGCGGCGGTTTTGATCTCGGTGGTGTCCATGTTGATTGGTCGGGAATAATGTTCAGGCGGCAGAGGAGGTTGATGCTGGGTGATGGGCGTGCACTCGTCTGCTTCCTGAAGTGCTGCTAAAGCACCTGGTTATTAGGATCCAAATCCTGGGCGGGTCCCGCGCTCTCGCTCCTCGCTGCCTCGTCACACAAGGGTGGCTTACCAAGCTCGCATTTGTAAAATCAGACGGGCTTCGGATAGCCTTGCCCCGACCATGCGGAGCGGCTCTGCCCCAGGAATTTGGATGCGTGCAGCCGTGACTGTCGACTCTTCTAAATCCGAGACTGGTCGAGACTTGAGATTGCGAGGGTGAGCGGCGGCGTGACGGTCCGACGTCAATGACATCAGATGCAACCTTGCGCGGCCACCGCATCCGAGCCGACAATCGATAACTGCTGCTCCTTCCAGCACCATAATCGCATGCTTGGCCGTCGAGATGCGCGTGCACCCTGCCGACGCGTCGCCTAGTCCGAGTCTTCATCATGACCAGGCCACACGATCTCCCGCTGCACTACTGCATAGGCACACCTCCATGCGATGAACAGCCAGACCACGACCAGGACGATGGTCATGACCGTGCTGAACCACAAGAGCCCCTCGCTACCCACAGCCCCGGCCACCCGGATCGTTGAGATGGTGAAGCCGGCGTTCGGGAACACAAAGCTCCACCAGCTGAGGTGGAACTTCCTATCCGGCATGCCCGCAACGACCGCCATCAGCGCAGACGTGAAGAACCAGAAGCTCAGCCCCCACAGGAACAGCGAGCAGTACAGCGACGCCAGCCTCACGCCATCAGCTAGCACTACCGGGCTGACCATCCCCTCGATGACGGGCACCTGGGCCGCAAAGATCCTCGGCACGTCGTCCGCCATGGACACCAGCGCGGCACAGGTGAAACTCGGCGGCCCGACCGCGATGAACATTCCCGGGCGCTGTGCAGGCAAGCCGTAGACCATCAGCCTGCTCAGGTACGTCGCATACATGAAGATGGAGACCATGAAGCCCAGCCCCTGCGCCGCGACGCCGGAAGTGATCATGGCTAGCGCCTGTGACGGCGTTTGGGTGCGCGAGTCGAAGGCTGCGATGGTGCCGGCCAGCATGACGGGGAATATCGGCAGGATCCAGGCTGGCGTCATGGCGTGGGCCTGGAGGCGGCGCTGCTCCTTGACGGTGAAGAGAAGGTGGTACTGGATGACGGAGACGAGGAAGGTGACGGCGAGGTAAAGCCAGTATGTGACGCGGTGGAAGACGGCGAGCCCGTCCTGGGCTTTGGGGGACAGGAACAAGCTGCCGTACTTCTCTGCGTTGGACAGGAGCGCCGCGATGGACAGGAAGAAGGTGGAAACGAAGAGTGCCTCCTTGGGATGTGTGAGAGTCTTGGAGAAAGTGTGCTTGTACAGCAAGAAGCGCAGCAGCAGGCACGCCGTGATGAGGATGAAGCAGAGCAGGTCGAAAAGGAACACGATCAGGCCAATGGTGTCAAGCCCGCGGAACCGATGCGGTGTCAGGCTCAAGGTGAGGGCAATGCCACCGGTTGACATGCTGTTATGGAGATCAGTTGCTGTGTAGCGTGGTCGGTCCTGATCCGGGCTGGCTTACGTGACGGTGTACCATGCAAATGTGAAGTGGCGTAGTCGCTCCCGCACCGATATTGGTGGCTGCAGGTATGTTGGAATTCTTTCGAGGGCCACCCTTGGTGTTGGCTCCCGGGTGAGGTCGCCATCCTCGGTGGTCGATCCATCTGGCAGCGGTTTGGCCTGTTTCTCATGGTCGGGAAAGTCACGGACTTGAGGCTCCATGATGCCAACCAATCCTTGTCGGGCAGACGGGACGACGGGCTGAGGAATCAGTCAAGATATGTTGCTCACCCGCGCAAGAACGGCGTCGTGGCTGCTGTGTCTATAGGGTGTATGTGGGGTGTTTTGTACTTGTGATTCAACCTGCAAGTCGAGTGGTTGTTGTTGTCGTCGATGATTCATGACAACATGTGTAGAGCGAGCAATCTATCGAGAAATGAACAGTAACGGCAGCTCCCCTTCTATAAAAAGGGAAAAAAGCCCACTGCAGTTAGGTGCCACCCGCGCAACGGCTGCAGGGTAGCAGGGTTACAGTGGGCTGGCTGGGTGGGCACCAAGTCCCGTTAGTGCCCGATGTCAGTCAGTGTGGTAGGAACCACGATCAACGTCGAGCTGCAGGGCAGAGCCTCCTTTTCCCGATGGTGATGGCGAAAAACCTTGCTCGTCGTCGTGGTCCAGCTGGTACATGTCACCACACAGCGTACTATTGCGTGGCGCGGTACAGTAACGGTGACCTCAACGTCTGGCCATCCGGCCTCGCCCTCGTCTTTTCTGGTGGCATCAGACCAGCCAGGTTCTTATTCAGGCTTGGCCGAAGCCATTCCGCTGTCGGATGGCGTTGTCTGCCCGGCCCTGACACGTGGTAAGGCAAGCCAGGAAACGAGCACACATTGGGCTAGCAGGTGCTTTTGCTGGCCAGACTCGCCCTCTGGGTTTACGAGCCCACAGTAGTCCCGCCCCAGCGCCTCGGATCTTGTCCCGATCAGCCCATTCTGACGGACAGCCCCTGGACGAGCACAGGGGGGCGTCCAGGCCAAAGCTGTAATCTTCGCTTTACATCCCTCGACACAGCCAACAACGACAGAGGCCTGGGCCCCGTCTTTCGCATTTGGCCTTCAATCACCACGACACACATCTCTTTACCTTGCAGCCGCAGAGAAGAGTGGCCTGAACCAGATCGGAAACACAGGCACTGGTCGGCATCATCTTCGTTGATGGTTGCCGGACAATCCCCATCAAACAGGTCGTGAAGTGCCCCGTGCCTGTCACTTGCACGTGGGAGCAGCGGCAACGAAAATATCAAGCCTCTCCGTTGAATCTATACAAGTTCATATGAGTGTATGCCTTATACCTTTACCACTAAATTGTGACATTGGATGATAGAATGTAAAGATTATTACTAGAGGGGGTGACCAGGAAGCCGAATGCTCCCGGCACCTGAATAGATTTCCCACCAAAATCTTAAAACTTAAATTCTATGTGAAATCATTAATACTTATACAATATTTTTAAATAAATTTTATATATAAAGGCGACCTATTATTTTATAATATAAAATATATACCTTAATTCTCTTTTATATTTTAACAAAATAATAAGAATTTAAAATTAAAGACTTTTTTAATACTTAAAATATTAGCTTTTTAAAATTAATTTTATATTAAAAAGTTTTTATTATATAATGTGTCTTTAAATACGTATAAATTATATTTAATTCGTAATATAAATAATATAAAATACGTCTTATAATATATTATAAATTAATTATAAATAAATCTTATAATAAATATATTAATTTTATATATTATTAAATATATAAATATATTATAAAATACTTTATTAAATTATAATATATATAAAATTACATATAAGTATATTAAATCTTGTATTTAAGTTATAATTTAAGATAAAAATAAAAAAAATAAAAAGTAAATCCTTTTTTACCTCTTTTTATTAAAAAGCATTTTTAATTCTTATAAAGAATTTTATTATATTTTACATTATATATATATATATATATATATAAATAAAAATTTTATTTTAATTTCATAATAAAGTTTAAATTTATTTCTTAAAATTTAAAGACTTTCTTTTTTGCTTTTTAATAAGGGAAATTTTATTTATTTTTATATAATTTATTAATATTAATAAATAATTAATAAAATATTTTATTAATAATATTTAGCTTTTATATATTAATATAACCATTTGTTTTATTATGTTTAAGGTTTAATTATGTAAGAAATAAGGGATAAACCTATAGAGTTTAAAAGCTCGTTTTTGGTGGGGTTTGCACCAAAAAACAAGCATTCAGGTGCCGGGACCATTCGGCTTCCTGGTCATCCCCTCTAGTGGGTTTAAACCTAAAGAGTCGCTGCAACAACTTCAGCCCATAGACAGACTAACTGTATAGTGGGCTTGCTCTCACCAGCAAATTCTTAATGAATATGGAGATTTCGCACCTGCAAAAACGGAAAGTACACCAGTATATCGCCACCTCTAAACCACGTAAGAGTTCACACACCCAAAAGCTACACCCCAATTCCCACACCCAATTCCCATACCCAACACCCATACCCACACCAAACACCCACACACTTAATTTACATGTTTAATTATAAAAAAGAGTGAAAAGAGTAAAAAAGTGAAAAACTATAAAAGTAAGTGTTGGCTGGGTTATATATTTAAATATAATAAAGGTATGATATATACATGGTGTAAATTTAAATTAATTAAAGGAGAAAGGGTTGCAATAAGTGTTACAGCCCGCCTTTATTTAGTTATAAGCTATTAAATAAAGGTATATAATTAAGTAACATAAGCTACTTATATATACTTATTTATTAATATATAAATAGCTTATTTTTATATTAATAATCTTTAATTAAGTAAATATATATAATTTAAAAAGTATTTCCTTTAAAAATAATTTAAATTTAAAGTTTAAAAGTTTAAAAGTTAAAGTATATTAATTATTAATTAAAAGTAAAATATAAATTTAATTCTATTAACTTATTATAAAATATAAATATGAAAATATTATTTTTAATTTAAAGTTTTATTATAATATAATTTAATAATTTATAATATTAAGTTTTAAGAATATATTTCTTTTTTATTTATTTTTATATTAAGTTAATTATTATTTTTATTATGTAAATAATTTATATTTTTATAATTTATATTTTTATAATTTATATTTTTATAATTTATATTTTTATAATTTATAATATTAAATTAATAAATATTAATATATATAAAATTAATATATAAATATTAAATTATAAAGTTTAATTAAAAATATTTATTATATATAAGTTAATAATTTAAATATTTATAAAGAAAATAATTTATATTAATAGTTTTAAAAATAAAATTCTTAATATATAAATATTATTATAAAGGTTTTAAATATAAAGTTTTATTTTTATAAGAAATATAAATTAATATTAATTAATTAAATTATTTTATAAAGTAATATATAAATAATTAATAAAATAAAATTAAATACTTATTAATTTAATATATATTTTCATTAATATGGATTAAAATTATTTTTTTAATAATTAATTTTATTTTATAAAGTAATTAAAATTAGTTATTTATAATTTTCTTAATATTTAATTTAAAGAATTAATTAATTTTAATTAATATTATTTTTAATTATAATAATTATTATATTAATATTAAATTAATAAAATAATATTTTATTTAATATTCTTTTTATAAATATATTTATTAAATTATTATTATTAATAACTTTATATTTTTTATAAATATCTTATTTTTTATATAATTAATATAATATTATTATATTTATTATAAACTTTTCTTTTAAAATATATTTAATTTAATAATATATTTAAAAATAAAATAAAACTTTATATAAATAATAAAAGGAATTAAAGATAATATAAAGTAATTTATAATATTTTTTAATATTATTAAAAGTATAATGCTTATTTTAAAATTATTAATTATATTATATGTTTTTAAAATAAATATTTTTTAAATAAGTTTTTTATATTTTATAAAAGTTTAATAAAGTATATTATTATAAATAGTTTATTTTATAAATTTAATATTAAGTTTTTAATTAAATAAATTATTATAAAGTTAATTTAAAAATTAAATTAAAATTATTAATAAAGAAATTATTTATAAAAATTATAATTTTAATTATTTTAAAATTAAATAAAATATATTATAACTTTTAATTAAAATTATTTATTTATTATTATAATTAATGCTTTAATTTAATATAATTATTTTTTATAATTATTTATATAAATAAGATTAATTAATTATAAATTAATATATATTTAACTTTATAATTTTATAAAATAGCTTAATAATTAAATAATAATATTTCTTTAAAGCTTAAATTTTAATTATATATATATTTATATAATATTTTATAAGATTAAAAGCTAAGTTTTTAAGAATATTGTTAAAAATATTAAGATAAAAATTAATTTTATACTTATTTATTAAATTATTAATAATTAAGTTAAAATAAATAACTTAATTTTATTATTATATTTTTATATAATTAGTTTTATCTTTTTAAATAACTTAATAAATAATTCTTTAATCTTATATATAAAGCATGCTTTAAATATTTATATTTTATAATAAAAAGTTTTATTATATTATTTAAATATTATTATTCCTTTATTAATTAATTTTTATAATTTAATTATTTTAAAAATACCTTAAATAAAGTATTTAATATTATAATAATATCTTTTCTTTATAATTTTAAAGTAAATTTATAATTATTAACTTTTTTTATATAATACATTAATTTAACTTATTTTTTAATTTTAATACTTTTTTTTATTATATTATTAATAGCTTATTAATTTAATTTAATTTTATTAAATATTTATTAATAAAAATACTTTTTATATTTATACTTTTATTTAATTTATATTAATTATTTAATTTATTACATTATTTATATAATTTCATACTTATTAATTTAAATATTTTAAATATAATATTTATATAAATAATTATATTATAATTATTAATTAATATTATCTTAAATAGCTTAATTTAATTATATTTTTTCTTTATATAAAAATATTACTTTATAAAAGATATTATAATATATTTATAATATTTAATTTATAAAATATTTTTAAAATATATTTAATATTTTTATATACTTAATTTTCTTAAAATACTTTTATTATTTTTTAAATTATTTTAATTTT